TCAATTAAATGCCGAAAAACCTTATAGGACTAAACCTTACCGCTATGACAAACAAAAAGACTTAATCATCGAAGAACATATTCAGGAGATGTTAAAGAATAAAATAATAACGCCCATAAATAGTGAGTACGCGAGTCCAGTAGTACTATGTAGGAAAATGAACGAGTTTCCTCCTTCGGATAAAAGGGCTTGGAGGTTTGCTATCGATTATAGAAAACTAAATAGCATAACTAAATTTCCAGTTTACCCTTTGCCGGTTATAGACGAGATCATTAGACAGATCAAATCGACCAGATATATGTCTACTTTGGACTTAACGTCTGGCTACTATCAAATAGCTATGAGACCCGAAGATATACATAAAACCGCGTTTATAACAAAATCGGGCACTTATGCATTTTTACGCATGCCTTTGGGTTGTGTGGGGCCCCCCATCAACATTCCAGAGAGCTATGGACATTGTTCTAAAGCCTGTCCTAGGAAAATCAACTTTAATTTATCTAGATGATATAATTATAACGAGTAGTATACGTTGGAACAACACGTTAATGACCTCGAACAAGTTTTTAAATTATTAAAAGAGGCCGGTCTTACAATTAACGCCTCAAAATGCAAGTTCGCAACTAAAGAACTTAAATATCTCGGTTATAAAATTTCGCAAAAGGGTATATAGAAACGCAAGATTCAAAAATAAAAGCTATTAAGAATTTCCCACCGCCCAACACCGCCAAGAAACTTTCGTCTTTCCTTGGACTATGTTCTTACTATCGGTCTTTCATAAAAGATTTCGCTAATATTGTTGAACCACTCTTAGTAATCAAAAGAAAAAAGAGTAAAGTAAATTTACGTGGACAGCTGAAGCTAACACAGCTTTTGAAAGATTAAAAGAAGCGCTTATTAATGCCCCTGTTTTAAAATTCCCTGAGGGGGACGACGAAAACCTGGAAATTGCGGCAGATGCATCAGACTATGCGGTGGGGGGTGCGGTTCTTATGCAAAATAACCATCCGCTGGCATTTTTTAGTAAAACATTGAATCAAACACAAAGGAATTATATAGCTACAGAAAGAGAAACATTAGCCGTATTAATGGCTGTACACAAATTTCGAGTTTATTTCGGCAAATCGCCAGTAACAGTCTTTTCGGATCATGCGGCTGTTGGTAGACTTTACTCGGGAAAAAACCTAACGCCCAGGTTAATAAGATGGGCTTTAAAACTCCAAGAATATAATATCATAATAATAAAATATAAACCGGGTAAGGAAAACAATGTAGCTGACGCACTTTCTCGTATAAAACTGGACGATGAAGGTAATGAACTTAAATGCGCTGTGTTGACTTCAAAAATTTTAGATTCTAGAGATACGGTTATTACTGAACTGAAAGCTGATCCTGAATTTGGAAATATCTATGCTTATTTGAAAGACCCCGAAAGCTTTGAGCACACAGATATCGATGCGATATGCGATAAGAAATAGAGCAAAAACTATGAAATAATAGATAATTTATTATTCTATACGAAAACAACAAACGAAAATCTTGAGTATAAGCCAGTCATCCCAGCCTCGCTTCGATTAAGCATTTTGAAGGAGTTGCACGAAAAAAAAAAACAGCGGGCCACCTCGGGGTCAGAAAGACTTTAAAAAGGGTACGCGAGGCGGTATATTTCCCGCAAAACGGCGTATATAGTACGGCGTAATCAAAATAGTAACGGCGTATGTCAGGTCCTGCAATCAATGTCAGTTAATAAATAATATTAATTACAGCCCGGCCGGGTACTTAAATAGCATTCGCGCTACATTTCCGAATGAAATTTTAGGCATAGATCTCCTTGGTCCCTTCCCCCAGAGCGAGTTAAATAAAAATCGTTTTCTTTTAGTAATAGATCATTTTTCAAAATGGATAGAAATTGTTCCACTTAAACGCGCGTCAGCCAAAACAGTCGCAGATGCATTCTTACACAGATACATTTTAAAATACGGTGCACCGATAAAAGTCATTAGCGATAACGGAACGGAAAACAATTCATTAGTCAAATATTTGAAAACATATGCAATGGACTTGGCATATACGCCATATCAAAATGGTTCCGTATAGACCACAGGCAAATAGCATAGCAGAATAGCAGAAAGAGTTAATAAAAACATTGTAAAAATAATTCGCAGTTACGTTAGCACACATCACAAGCGCTGGGATGGCTACATAAATGAATTAGCTTATGCTTTAAGAACGGCACATCATGATACTACGGGAAAAACTCCAGCAGAATTAATTATTTTAGGCAGAAAGTTAATTACAGTTTAAATTACGCCTTTAGATAAATTATTCTTTGTGCAACAAAGAGAGCAGGAATTTAGGACAACAAAAGGACGTGCAAAAGCTAATTGATCAGGCGCTTAAAACTTCGGATACGGCAAGAAAAGAAATAGACAAAAGTTATATTATGATAGAAAACGCCGTGAAGCAGATTTTAAAGTTGGGGATAAAGTATTGAAACGGAAATTTTCTTTATCAAGTGCCCCAGACAATTTTATGGCAAAGGCTAGCTCCAAAGTTTGAAGGCCCCTATGTAATTCAGGAAATCAAAGGAGTAGTCTTATATCTTAAAAACGAGAGAGGGGAAATCTGTAAAGCAAGTCCCGACCAGGTGAAAAAATACTATAATCCAAATGATTTTGAAATCCTTAAAAGTTTCTTGCAGGACTCAAGTCTAAACGAAATAGAAGGGCCAGAGACTGCAACAACTATTCCACCACCCAAGAAACGGAGGACTGAAGAGAGACCTAGCACTTCTACAACCCGGACGTCGGTATCAAAAAGAAAGAAAAAAGGATTTTCAAACTCCGGCGTTTAAGAAAAGAAAAACAAAAATACAGATGAACCGGGTAAAGAAACCGTGGTAAAGAAGAAAGAAAAAACACCACCTACAAAAGATGGCAGGAGAAATTACACATCAAAGAGAACGCGCACACGGCCACAGAGTCAGGTGCCAGCAAGGCCGCCGTTCCGGAAACTGAAAACGCCAACAGGAGGCAACAGAAAGTACGAAGGAACAACAGAAGAAATTCAAGACTCCAGACCGGAGGACGTCAAGACCAGCCGTCCCAGGCAGAAACGAAAAACGCAAAGGCCAACAACCAGACGATTACTCCGTCAAGAGGCCAGCCAGCATGTAGAGGACGCAAAAGAAAGATCAACGGGGACGACACTCGAGAGATCAATAAGGAGAGAAGATTGACATCCATGACAACCTCTAACTTGGGATCAATTTTGCCAAAAAAAAAGGATGACGGAGTTTCAAGCATCGAAAACTCAAAGATAAGTTAAAACCTTCTATAAATTTTTCTTTCTTTTTGTTCCGAAATGTTATGCATAAGTACGAAGTTCTATGTTTTGACGAAAGTCAATATGTCTCGGTTGAGACTTAGTTTTTTTTTACTTTATTTAGCTAAGGCAAAAGTATTATTTTCTTTAAGTGTAAAAAGCTAAAAAAAACAGCATTTTCTGTTGGTCGAAAGACTAATTCTGTTATGTTAAAGCCAAAATTTGGCCGGAGAGATAAAAAAAATAACTTCGTATTCTTGTACTAATAAGAATTTTAGTTTCAGTGCCGCCAGCTTGGCGAAGAATGAGTAAAGTAAAAAATTTATTTTTCTCTTATTCATTTTATGGTAAATTGTAAAAAGCATATGTATTAAACTTTTGTAAATGTATGTAAATACTTGCATGTTATGTAAAAGTAGAAGAATTTAGTCGAGAAGCATAAAAATTGTAGATGCTAAAAGTGAATGCTTAAAAGCAATGAATTCAAAATTTAAGTATTAAACTGTAGATAAAGTCATGCTTTAGAGCGAAAGCCTGCATGTTTAAAGATGAATGAGGGGGAAGTTTAGAATGAATGTGTTTTGTAGGGTTCTCCACCTACATTTGAATTTTTAAGAATATTAAAGTAGCTCATTGAGTTGTAGAATGTCGAGTAAGGTGTGTCTATTTGGTTGTTGAATTCTAACAAATCATGGTGGTTAGGGGAAGTGTTGTAAGACTAAAACACGAATATTCCCGGTTTGACACCACACACGGTGGAGAGCCAGGGTAAAGTTAAAATTAATGCTTGAAAAATTGAATGAATTGAATGATGTGAAGTAAGCAATAACTAAGAAAAACGAAACGTTAAAAACAAAAATTTATTGTGTCAAGAAAGTGTAAATTATAATGTATGTAGAAAGATACTGATACTTATTCCTTCCAGATGCTGGAAGGAAAGACCAAGATTGATTGATGAAGTCCAGGAAAAGTTGCTGTAAGAAAGAAAGCTTTGTAACGACTACAGAATTTTAATTGTTACATAAGATTTTTTTGTGTAAACGAGGCTTTCGCCAGTTAGTTCAGAATTAGATAAACTTACAACAGGTCGTTTGTAGGACCTGCTTCCAAGTTTTCCAAATTCTGGCAGCGGCAAATGTAGGGTTTATATTTATTTTAACTAACATTTATTTTAAGTTTAAACTATCTTTCCTGTCAAGCCTTACTTTCCCCCGAAACTGCCAATGCCAGAATATGTAAATTTGAGCGCGCAAGCATTCAAATTATCAGCGGAAGTAGTATGATTTAAAATAGAAGGAAACGAGTTCGGTGAGAGAGTTATTCTTACTTCGCGAGCGCGGAGGTAGAAATCGGGAATTAAAGAACCCCGCGTTGCGGCCTATGTGCTTGGCGGGAAGTAGTTGCAATTGTTCCAGTGAGCTTCAAGTCTGCTGAATTAGCTGCTTTTGTAAAACGCGGTGAGTTAGTTATTTTAGAGAGCCTCGTAGTTAGAATCTTGTCTTTATTTTCTTTTCAGGTTTTTATTTTTATTTGACTGCCTAGTTGGCACAGTTGTAAGCGTCAAGAGGACGCAATTGTAATTTAGTACGTTGAATAAAAAGGGACTTAAACCCTTTATAAGACTCTGTGGTTTATACAAGCTTTCACAGTCACCTCTAGGTTGCGTGCTAGTTAGAGGCGCGCAACGTTATATAGTGATATTTTGTTTCCATTCAAACCTTCTTCTTTCAAGCGGCAATGATGCTGAACTCGAATCTACAGAAATAGAAATATTCGGATTTTTATATATATATAGAAATATGGAAAAAAAAATCAGGAGGAAGTTTTCTTAGGAAAAAAGAAGATTTTTGGAAGTTTGCTTTTTAGTATACACGATGTGTTTTGGAAAGAAGAACAGATCATTAATATTAAAAGAGGATGCCTTTTTGATATGGGTATTATTCTTTTTCATGATCTTTATTCTTTTTCCTGAGATTTTATTTTTTTCAATGATTACTTTTTTGTAAAATCTGATAATGTAATGCTGTGATATTTTTATTTGAAACATAGCGAAACGATAAAAAAGGATAAACGAAAAAATTGCTGTTTTTTTTTTCACTACAACTTCCTTAATTATCTCTGAACTCGATAAAGCACTTCTTACTGTGAGACTAGTTTTGTACTTGAAATGTTCAGGTGTAATTAGATTGTTATAGGATAAAAATGTAAAATACAACAATATTAGTAGTTTAGCTTCTTAAATAATCTAATAATCTAGCTAGCAGTAAAATCGTTTTTTGAGAATCATCAGAAAATATTTTTATTTGCAAAATATGAAACTTTATTCTATCAAAACTTTTACATTACCAGTTTTCTTTAAATTAGCAGTTTATAGAATATGAATAGGAAACAGTGAAAAGAAAAAAAAATCGCATACCTTGAGCAAATAAAGTTTACAATATGCTGCTAATTAAAAATCATTCTTTATTTTATTTTTATTATTTAAGAGACATATAAGAAATGAATGTAACTTTGGAAGAAAGGTAAAAATGGACATAGTGGCATTAGTAAGAAAATAATTGGTGTACGGTAATTTCAGATTACTTCGGTTAATTTAATGTATATAGAAGAATTTTTGGTAGAAAATATTCATAAAAGTTTTTGCTTTGTTTCGATCATTCCAGAAACAGTTCTACAATGTTACAAATGTTGTTACATCCGTTCCGCTAATGCAAATTCTTGATAAAACGGGATTTGGATAGCTTCGCAAAAGGAAACAAATTTAGAGCTCATCTCTTATCCATCGTGTTCCTACAAATAGAACTTTGTTTATACGCCTATACGTTTATAACGTCTATAAAGTCTTTATACATTTAAATATATAATTACATTTTAATTTGATGTAAGGTATGTAATTCGGTTGTAGAGCTTTATTCTGATTAATATGTAGACTAAAGAATTGGAGATACACTTAGGTTTTTAAAGTTATACTTACGAAATTTTAGGAGTGTTCGAAGTTGTCTCCTCCGGAATCAATACATTTCTGTAGGCGAATTTCTCAAAGATAAATGTTTCAGGCCAGTCATTTCTCGGAATGAATTAAAAAATGTGCATTTATAGTCTCATCGATTTCATCTTCAGAATGAAAATGGCTTCCACTCAAGTTCATTTTTAGATTAAAAAATAGCCAAAAGTCACAAATAACTCGATCGAGTGAATAGGCTGGATGTTCTATCATTTTAATGTGAATTTATTTAAGAAACTTGTAAGGATTATGTTAATTTTATTAACAGTTAAATTCTGAGTTAAACTTCTTTCCTGTGTAATTCTTAACTGCAACTTACTACTTCCGGCCAGAACGTAGTTTTAGATTCACGTCTAAATACATAACGAGCAGGAGCGGTATTTAAACCGCAAAGTTCTTCGATCTTAGCGAGAGAGTTACCAGGTATTCTGTCTGCACGCGTCCGTCTTTTTAGGCTTCTCTCTCGCAAGCTATTATTACGCTCGGCCGTACTTAGGCCCTTGATAGCTTCGCAGTCAATTAGCGTTAAGGGGCCAACTCGGTTAGAATCTTGATAGTTTCCTATATCTCTTTAGTTTAGATTAGTTTTAGTTTACTTCTTAGCCCCTTAAGTTCAAGCCCAAGTGTCGGCTTTTATTTGTAAAGCACTCCAAGACGGAGTTCTGTTATCTGAATAATAAAGGGTTATTTACCCTTCCATCTTGTTGTTTCTTGTTGCACGAACTCAAGCGATTATTCGCTTTCCAGTTCTTAAGATTCTTCACGTTTAGATGAAATCAGCATTTACAAAGTGAGGAACTCTACAAACTCAGACGTCAATCTTGCTAAATAAGAAAATGCATTGTCATGGTGGAGCATGAGTTCTCTAACATTCACTTCTTGAAGAATTTCTGAAGAACACTTAGGGGTGTACCCATTAGCTGTGACTATCTTCTATCCTTCCAGCTTGATGAATTTGATCAGTCCTGTACTTCTGAAGAAAATGGTATGCATTACGTTTTTCATGGCACGTTGCCTTTTCAGCATTGTGAGGGTAAGATCATGTTCAAAGAACCATTCTTTACTTTCTTGACGTGTTGGAGCGTCAAATAATGGTATGTACTTTTCATCACCAGTTATGAATTTAGAAATAATGCGGTGGCCACCAACTTTAAATAATTTAAGGGTTTTTACTGATTCTGGTAAGCTTCTCATTTTGGTGCTCAATTAAATTAAGGAGAACCCAACGGCAAACTAGGTTTTTCATATGAAATTCATATTGTTGCGTGCGTACGGGTTCGTTATGAAATGAATGCACAAGTCCGATGAAAAATGAACAAAAATTTATTATTATCACAACAAAAATGCTTAAATTTTCTCAAATTATCATGCAGTATTACAATATCTCACAGTAGTTATCTTTTAACTACTCAAATGTCCAATAGAACGTAATTCAAAACAGCTAAAGAACGCTAATCCGCGAATTCGCTACAATCAACAAGAGCAGTTTTCTATTAACAACAAACTAAGCAACTACTACGAACTGAGATGTTTTCCTCCTTTTATAAGATTTTAAAAATCACGCGCTAGAATTTTCCAGTACTTTCTCGAAATCAAAAAAAAGAGATTTATTATTTAATGCACCCGCTCTTGTATTTTCAATTTTCCCGGCTTAGCTTTCTTTTAATATTCGTCACGCGCTGCACTGCGCGAGAAATAAAATCATTTAATTTATAATTGGACTAACATTAGCTTTTTAAATACCAAATTCGTAACAATATGAAATAATTTTATGTATACCATCGGACCCAATGTTAAGTTCTTTCTGTGTCATTTGGTAGGTGCAGCAATTATCATTAATTAACATTTATCATTAATTACATTATCCGGAATTACTGCTGACAATGTCCTTCCAATGTGTTCTTCGTCCTGAAGACAATTGCGAGCTCTGTGAAATTCTATAAATCATCTGAATACAGCAGCACTAGATCATTTCCAAATGCTAATTGTAGACGTTGAACGCATTGATCTTGATTTAATCCACTTTAAAAATCGTATAAAAATCAGAGCACGATAATGTTCTCGCGTCAACGGCATTTTTCCTTCTGCACAAAATTTATTCTAAGTTGAATTACGTACAGGTGGTCAGTAAAAGATCGTTTGCTAGACTAAAATATTGGTTTATATTTTCAAATCTAATTGTAAATTTTTTTCTGCCATTTATAATATGCACGTATCTCAAAAATTTCAGAGTGATCTCCATATAACTAAATCTGATCACGCAGATCTATCAGTTATATGTCATCCAGCAAGTTTTCAGATTACAAATAATGTAGTTAGTTACCGCAGAAATCAAGATTCCATTACGAATACTGTTTAGAGTATTAAAGTCAAGCTTTCACTTTTTCAATTTGAATATTTATTCTTGTAGTCTGACATGCATCTTGCTCTTTTGTTTATTATTAGTGTTGTAGCTGTGCCCACCGCTAAAAGCACTTAACAAAATTAAAATTATTTCTATTCACTCTTGCGATAAGCGAAGAAATAAAATTTTCAGAATACATTTTTCCAGAAAGTAAAGTTTAATGGAAAAACGTAACGAAAATGTTCTTATACTTTCCGAAGAAAATTCGCTCTTAATTTTGATCATGCTATATAATTTTTCATGGCTTTGAAAGCAAAATAAAGAACTTTGACATAATACTATTTCATCCTTCATACTGGAGGTACGAAAATAAACGAACGTTCTTCTATTTTTTTCTAATAACTAATATAATACAAAACAAGAACTTTATTCAAAACCGAAAGTAATCGAAAAACAGGCTGACACAGAAATTGTGCTGACTTAGGGATTATTAGTCACCAGAAAGCTTTCCAGCGATTCTTCCTTTGAATAAATTATCCCTTTCATAAGGCAAAAAAACTCACTTTCTAATCAAAATGCGTTAAAATGAATTGACTGGATCGGAAAAGGAAGCATAATAATATATAACAAAAACAGAATCTACTCCAGCTGAAGAGAAGATTCGCATCATACTTCTTTCGTAGCTCAACTTATTCAACTTTTTCATAAAAAAAACTTCAAACGGTTTGGGAAAAAGTATTTTCTTGGGATAAACGTGTACGTTTGCTTCTCAGATATATTGATCTCGAGTGCTTTGTGGTATTTCTTGGGGATAAAAGTATAGTTAAAAAAGATATCGTCGTGAGTGCTTGTAAAAAAAAAATTCAATCCTTTGAACTTTTATTTTTTTAGGAATCTGCCTTGACAGTGAAGAATCAAAACGTATTATGCAGAAGAAACCGACATCTTTTAGTTTTACCGTGTTCTACGTACTTTACGCTGAAAACAAAATGTGTCCTGCATGATAATTCTCCTTTGAAACGAAAAAAAGATTTGTGATGTTTGTGGGGAAACTGCTTTAACATTTAATAATTCTGTATTAGTAACTGTAAAAATAATCATTAATTGCTATGCAAAATTTTCTGCTAAATATAAAATGCTTTAGATTATAGTTATGTGGCCTTTTTTCCCAAAATTTTTGGTCTTAGATATGTAGTTCCAGATACAAGAGTGTTTTAAATGATGTAAAATAATCATGTTTAAATTTAAAAATACATAATATCTAACAATGTTTTGAGTTCTCATTCTCCTATAGTTATATTTAGCAAACGTTTATACCTATCATAAAAAATAAAACGCAAAATATTTGACATTTCTTGCAACAACAATTGGCCGATATACTTAATTTCGGAAATTTTTTAGGTTAATTATGTTAGGGAAATTTTTTAGATTTTTTACTGCTTCAAAATCAACCTTTATCCCATTTTTTGAGGGATTGGTGAAAAAATAAATTAGAATAGTAAGAGAAACATCTCGATCAAAAAATAAATTAGAATAGTAAGAGAAACTCGTCGGAAAACATCACACAAGCCCACTGTTGCGGTGTC